TCAGTTTGCATTTGAGATGGCTGGTGAAAAAATTATTTAATTTGGGTCAGAGTTGAAGTTGAAATGTTACAGTGAAGTATACATTACTTTATATTGCATGTGTTTCTTTATGAGTTATGTAAAAAATTGTGATATCATTAATTATTTATTTCCATTCTTCTAAATGCTGTGTTTTATAAATGATGCAATTAAGTAAGCACATTGTCATCACCTGATTTTTTTGAAAGGAAGATTTTTGGCTCTGGGGTAACAGTGAATCTAGTAAAGAACTCAGAGAGATATTTAAGAAAATTAAAAGCAAAAGAAATGCGCTCAGACAAACATGAACAAAACTAAGCAAGTGTACTTCCTGTCAAACCTATTTAACATTGCAAATGATTCAGCATAACTGAGGTCACTGAAAACAGCGATGTCCATCAATGCAAAAACTGGGAACTCCCAAAGTTGCTGTCATCCATGTTGAAAAGTCTATCACTCATAATCTTAAGCATCAATGTTTCTATTATAATTTGGTCAAAGCATGATGGACAGAAATAACAGATTGTTTTTGAAAAATAGCTATCAGTATATCATCTTAATCCTTTCAAGCCATTTCACAAGAAAGGCTAAATTAGACACTGGGTGCATTTACTGGGTGCAATTAGACTACATGTGTATTTACTGTGCAGTAAATTACTGTGCAGTGAGTTATTGTGTTGTTAGTGGCTTTAGGATGGCATCTACATGTGCAGCCGTTAAAGCATAGTAACACTGTGTGGACTGACTTGGGACTAACTTTAGAAACTATGGAAGTTGAAGGTGTTTTTAGTTAGTTCCTAGTGGGCACATCTATACTTGCACATTTACTGCTCAGTAACCAAACATGTGCATGCCCTTACTGCACAGTAAATACGGTGACTTAAGCCAACTTGGGTATAAATTTGATACCTGCATCATGCAGGTATCAAATATATGCCCAGTTATTTACTGCTCAGTAACGCACATGTAGTTGCGTTAGTAACACTGCGCAGTAACACTGAGTGTGTGGACTGACTTGGGACTAACTTTTGGTTACTGTGCAGTAACCTAAATTACTGTGCAGTAAATGTGCATGTGTAGACATGCCCACTGGTAACTGACTAGAAACTCTTTCAACTTCCAAAGTTTGCCTTTCTCTCTCTCTCTTTTTCTCTGTTTCTCTGTTAATAACAGAGATTCTAGTAGTCTGGTTTAATAGAACTGGAATTACATCAGAACCCAGAGACAAATAGCATTTTGTATAGCAAAGAAAGGAAAATTCAGTAGAATTACAGGCATGTGCCATGTCAGTTAGCAAGGTAAAATTAGGCTTACTTTTCTGAATTAGCTCCTTGACTACCTTATTTTTAAAGTACTTTAAAACCTAGTAGTTCTGAGTCTATGGTAGACCATAGTCTAACCATCCTGATAATACATTGTAGTATATAATGCTGTTTTTTCCCCCAAAGGACACTAGATTAGGGCTAGGGAGAGGAGTGTGTGGGGAAAAATAATGAACCTTTAAATGTCTTAGTAGGTTTTGAAAGATATGGGAATACTTTATTGTTCCATCCATTGGGAGATATAATTTCATGTGTCCTTTTACTGCCTTTGGGAAAAGGAAACTGATCAAAAGTTTTAAAACAGGCCTCTGTGGTTTTTCCCATCAACAGTGGTAGCTGAAAAGTCCCTCTGTCACTTCTATCACCTGCCTTCATTCATTAGGAAGTTGTTTCTAAGCAAATTTACACATTGCAAGTCTACCTGATTTCCCCTGACATTAAAATCTACAATATGTTGTTCAAAATCAACTGACCGCTCATACAATCAGGGAATAAAATACAAGGTTAATTACCCTGGGTGGCTAAAAATTGCAAGTTATCCTAGTCAATTATTTCTCCTGCACCACTAAGGTTAAAGTTCACACAAGGACTTAGATTTGATCAAAAAATGACTTAGGCAAGGTATCATGCACTCAACATTGTCTGTGCATGAAGAGCTCCTCCCAGGGGAAGTTACTCTTTGTGAGAGCTGTAAAATAACCCCAAAGATCTTACTCTTTTGCCTGTATAGCAGCTCTCCTTCAACAGGAAAATGAGGAGATTACCCCTCCTATTGGCCTTCTCACTCTCACTTTTCTCTACACCTGTGAAAATGCATTGGTTCATACAAAAGAACTTCCATAGTTCTGTCACTTCTCCTCTGAGGTCTTTCATAGAGGGGTACGAGATCAAAACTCTTAATTTCTTTTCCAAAACATTTAGACTGATTCTTCACATTTGCATTTCTGATTTTTTGAAGGAATGCATGTCTAACTTGACTCTGCTTAGCCCATTACCCAGTTTCTCAGGTACTGTTCTGGAAAATAATTGTGGGAGAGTGTATCTGGAGTCATTTAAAACATATCTTCTCTAGCTTATTCTGAAATGTAAAACTAGAATTTGAAAGTTAAGATGATATTTTTCTGACTAAAGTGTTATCATCATCAATAAAAAAATTGCAGTTCATAGTGTTACAATCCCAATGTCTTAAACTGAATAACAAAGGGCAAAAATTGACTTCGCTGTTGAAACTCATTCTACATTCATGATTTTGTTGCACAAGGTGAGCTTAAGCAACTCTGTGCTCACCTGTGAATTTGGAGCACTAGCTATGAAACATATTTAGTGTGCCACTTCTTTATTTACTTGCCTGAAACTACTATGCTATGCCAGTTGTGGAGAAAGTTTTGGAGAAAAGTAGAGGGAAAATACATCTAGAGTGAATGTTGGTATTTTTGGAGGGAGACAGATTATCAAGCAGAGATTTGGTGGATCCCATGTTTTCAAACTGTGACGGCAATAAATAATTCACTAAGGGGATAACTAAGTATGTTATCTCTTCTGTGCTTACTGACAGCTCCAACCAACTTGCAGTCCAAGTCACGTGTCAAAGGAGCATGAAAGTACAAACAATACTTAGTAAAGGCAGGAAATGGATGATGCAAAAATTTCCTGCAACCACAAGTTGGTCAGCACCATCCAGAATGCCATGAGGAAGCACAAGTAGTGGAAGAAACCAGCTGCTCCTTCCATAGTTGAGTTAGCTGTAAAACACTAAATTGTTGAGTTAGCTGTATAGAACTATTACTATCATTAGCAGATTATTCTGAACATACAGCCAGGCCACGGTACTGTTGAATAAAAAAGATTCTAGTTTTGCAGAGCTGATTTTCATGATCTTTGTCTAAATCAATGGGGATGGGGATAAGGTGAGGACTAGAAAGGGCAGTGGGGAGGAAATGCTTAAAGTTATTCATGTGGCAGAACATAGCTTTCTAGAGAGATTGTCTCATAAATCATTTCTGCTTCCGTTCCTTGTCTGAATTCACTTTCTCTCCCACTCATGTTTATATGTATCACATTCCTCTCCCATGGGCCTGTGGTAACTGCAACACATTTTCAAATGGACAAGCAATACTAGGAAATGATCTGTATATTTTAACTGTTTATAGTATAGTTACTTTACATCTGTGGAAAAAAAATATTTACCAAGGCAACTTTGCAAAAGAATTCAGGTTCCATTTTCAAAAGTACTTAACGGATGGAACAGTCCAATCACAAACACCCAATTTATGAGAGCTAATTTTAAATTAAAGTTATCCTGTGCCCTCTGTTCACATATGGATAGGAGAGTCAGAGAGAGCGCAATTCTATTGGAGGACAATCTGAAAAGGGAAGACCCATGGAAAATGGTGTAACCAGGGCAGCCACCCTGGGTGCTGACTTAGGAGGGGTGCAGTTGCTACCACAGCCATGTAGTCATGCCAGCAGTGCATCAGAAACTGAAAATCACCTCTGCCTCTGAGTTTGGCAGCTGCTCTGGGCACTCAAGTACATTGTTACACCTCTGGCCATGAAAAAGCACTTCTATAGGTCATCAGTCCTAACGGCTACAAGGACAGAGTCTGGTTTCTTATGTAACCTGCAGCTCCATGTGTTGCCCAATTTTGACTCTCCTGCTAACAAATATGCAACCTTCTCTGGTCTGATGAGTAGTGAAGAAAACCATAGTGCATTTCACACAGTTTCTCCATTCTCAGGCTTTTGCATGGGACAGGAACGTGTGATCTGAAGTGGTCATGGTCAAAGATGCCCAGAGAATTAATTTTTTTCAAATGTTTCCCCCACACATTTTTCATTTTTTCCTATTAAAACAAGTATTTAGTTTTAAAGTTTTTATTAAAAATAAGACTGTTCTTTGAGTTCTTAATTTTTTATTAAAATATGGAAGTAGTGGCCAACACAAAGATATCTATTTGAAACATTCTTATGGTCAAAAATCCATTTTGCATCAAGAGGATACCACAATGAAAATATTTCACTCTGCTCTGCTTATGATTTACTGCTGTCATTTTCTTTTGTCATGAATATTGTAAAAAATATTAGGAGGAAGTTACCAACCAAATTCTTTCCTTAAACTCTGAATATTAAAATATTAGGTTTGCTTTTTGCATAAACCACCAAAATTCCCTGGGCTGAATGCTGCAGTACTGAATAATACTGCCTTAAAATCAGTGGTGTTTTGATTTCCTCAAAGTCTATATTTAAAATACTTAAAAGCCCCTCAGTGAAGTCAGTGAGAGTTTATTCAGACTGAGTAGGGAAGAAGTATTGTTGAGGCCACGATGATCCAGTGAATTTGTGAAAACATTGCTCTTCAGAGCAATGGAGCCATAATTTGGCCTAAGGGCTGTGGAAACAAGCCTACAATGTATAATTGTTATTTGCACAGCACAAGGGAACTGGTTGATAAAAATACAAGAGGGGGGTTAAAAAAATGTTTATTTTTTTGCTGTGACAAGCTTTTTAAAAAACAGGAAGATTTGGGCTGCTATTTTATCCCTACTATATTCGGTAGGAATTTTGCTATATGAATTCTGTTGGAGTCAAGAAATGCACATCATCATCTCTGAAGCTGAAATGGCTTTTAATGTATTTCTTTCTTTAATCTTCTTAAAATAGCTTATCACAAATGCCAACACCTTCGGGGAAAGATGACACCAATGACAATATTACTATATTCACCAGGATCTTGGATGGTCTGCTCGATGGCTATGATAATCGACTTCGCCCAGGACTGGGAGGTACAACAGGATTTCTCCTGCTGTTGCATAATTTACATATATCTGAGATGGTATATATGGTACATAGTATATGTAATGTATATAGACTTCTGTGACTTCTACAGTGAAGCCTTGAAATGAATACTTCCCTATGGAGCAAACCTGTTAAATGCCCATACTCTGTCCATCAAACCAAAATCCATGGAAATGGATTGAAGGATTTATGAATCAGTGGCTAGTTGTAATGGGGCATAAGATCCTATCTAGAGACTGGTGAAAGAGCTAACTCTCTCCCTCTTGCTACAAAACTTTATCAGTTTGCACAATAGTTGATTGTGTCGTTTGTAGGGAAATCATTTCTACTCAACAAAGCATAAGAGGAATATGTGAGTCTTGGGGTCTGAGATGGAGGGAGAAGATGAATGCCTAAGTCAATCAGAGGCTAAAAAGCTTGATCAGGTCTAGTTCCCTGGAAAGTTAGTGGAATAAATTATATAGGGATTTTACATCTTTGCTTTGGGCTTAGCCAAAGAATACTGTATGGATATAGTTGGATTTTAGGTAAGGAAAGCTTTGTTGTATTATTTGCATTTGGTACTTGAAACAGTATAACTTTCTTCATAAGCTGCCCTGAGCCTTTTTGAGATGGTCATCATATAAATCTAATGAATGAATAAATATGCTTTTTAATAAACCACAAAAGTGATTCAACTCAGCATAAATGAGCTTTGCTGGATGGAATGGTGATACAGTTTCTGATGTAACTGATAAATACTGTTTATTTATTTCCATTAGGTTTCAATGAAAAGAAATGGTAAGCATATGCACACATATACCATATAAAATATATCCTAAAGCACTGTGGCCTTCTTAATGAATACTCCATTTAAAATAAACCTGTTAAAACTACTATTATATTTTGTAGCACTACGGCAGTCCATAGCGGACTGCTTCTCTGTTTAGAAATCTACAGGGTAACACCCAATCCTTACATAATAACTTGATTCCGCTGTTCTCATTGAGGCAAACCTCCATTAGTCAAGGAGAATGTTACTAAGGTAATGCTTCCTGAAAAGCTCCATTGTCAGACCAATACATTGCTTTTAGAAGTATAAGAGTACTCCCTGCATCAGCTGTATACTAGATCTCATTTGATATCCTAGATCTTTAAAAAAAAAAAATAGCTGCATTTAGATGGCCAGAGAAAACCCACTGTCTCCCAGCGCCCAGGGCCTTATCTAAAGTCCAGTCAAGTTTTCCAAGTAACTGTTACTAAATCCAGTTGGTTATAGATCAGATTTGTTTTTCTAATCACTGTTAAAGGTTTCAGAAGTGGAACATTTTTTTGTTTTTCTCCTTTTGGTGCTACTCACTTGTATGATTGATGACCTAGACATCACCTTTGCAAATTGCTTTTAAGGTGCACAGGATGGTAAATAACACATGAAGTCTCACAAAATAAAACATGCATTTTAAATGCGCAAATGATAAAAATCATAAGAAAGGCAAGAATAAAATTATTTTTCTGTGATTGGCTTCTTATAGTGCAATTGCATTGGCACACCAGTTAAGCCATCTGCATATTTGCCATTTTAAATGGTTTACATGTAAATATACGTCTGTCATCCCTGGTATTCTGATCTAGTCCAGCTCCTCTTCACCTTTCTGCACCATTCTCCTTTCACCTTTCTGCACCATTCTCCTTTCACTTGTAAAACATTAAAACCAGTAGTTATGCTTTTAGTGCCACTTCACAGCCTCATTTCTATACTCTGCTCAAAAATGCTGTTCCCCAAATTCTACTCAAGATGTATGTGACATAGCCTGACCCTGTGTGTGGCCAGGGCACCTTTGAAACATACTTTTGGGGTATTTTCACAACTCACATCATCTGCTGCTTGACCACTGAGTCTGTTGATGCAGATGCTGTAAAGTCACCTCCCTGAACAAGAGCACCTCAGCTTTACCTGCCTCACTTGGATCTTACCAGCTTTCAGCAGAGGATTCTTCTTTCAGAAGAATCACATCCTTCAGAATTGTACTCCAAAAAAATGGATCCCTCTTCTGGAGAAGAGGACGGATTGCATGGTCAGATACTCTGAAATCACGCTTACCCTGACAGTAAGTAAATTATAAACAGGGATCCTGGTTTTCTCTGATTTAAAAAAAATCCCCAGTTTTCTGTTAAAAAAGTAACCCCAAATCCACATTTTTCCATGATTTAAATGAAACACCACTAGTATATATGTATCTGTGTATTAATGGTGTTTCATTTAAATCAGAGAAAAATGTGGATTTGGGGTTACTTTCTTTTAACTGAAAATTGGGGATTTTTTTAAATCAGAGAAAACCAGGATCATTGATTATAAAAGATAAGAAAAAATTTATAATAAAGACATGACCAAGCATAAGAAATCAGTGACCATATGTTGTGATAGAAACAGAGATGTAAGAACAAACAAGCAAAAGAAATTATCAGAACAATAATCTGATCTTACTTTGCATCTTAAACCCAAGAGCATACACCAACTGCAGATGCTTCCTCAGCCTGACGAAAGGTTTTTAAACCCAAAAACAATTTTTTTTCCAACTATTTAAGTTGGTCTAATAAAAGATATCAGATTCACGTGAAGAACTTTGTCTGCCTATGTCCTTAGACCAACATGGCTACAGCCTACACCCCTTAAACTCAAGAATGCACCTTTCACCCAGCTCAAAAGGTCAGAGCCTGTTACAAGTTCTCTTGCCAGTCTACTGGCTGAGGGACCAAAGCATATTATGCCCAGGAAGCTCTTTTCAGACTCAGGTCACCTCTTCTTGGGCTGAAGCATCCCTCAAAAACTTTTGTGAATCAAGCAGCACCCCATTTCAAAAACTAATTTATTATAGGGCATACCTCCTTGCAGTAGGGGCAGAAGGAATAACCAGGCAGAAAAACCTGCTCCTGCTCTTATCTGCTTATCTCCTCATACCTGAAGCCTACCTGCCTTTATTTATCTCCTCATACCTTACTTATCTTGTCACACTTCATGCAGAGCCTTTCAAAGGTTTTTTGCAACACCCTGGTTGAGAATCACTGCTTTAGACAAACCTTTGCAAGGCTTAAGTACTTGCCCTTCCCTGGCCAATTCCATTGTATAGAATTCTTGTAGGTCAAGCATTGTGCATATAAACTTCTGCCCCACTTATGTACATTTATTTGGCCAGTCAGGCATCTTCACTGACCCATTTATAACAGGAGGAATATTTACATCTTTTCAGACCTAAAGACTACCAGCCCAGCCTTCAAGTCTCATCAAATGCTATTTGTATAAAAGATTATTTCCCCTGCCTGGGTCAGGCCTTGGTGCCTCACCTTGGTACTCAATATGCATAGCTATGCAATATAAATTCTCAGTATTGACCATATTTACTCAATCCTAAGATGAGGGTTTTTTCCCCATTTGACATGGGCAGAAGAGCCCCTTGTCTTACAGTTGAGTGTGAGGTGGGGTGGGGGAGGGCAGGGAACTGCTGTGGCTCCGGCTCTAATCCTTACCTGGGGTCAGAGTTGTAGCCACAGCTCTTACTTACCCACCATCCCAGACCACCATTGCCATCTCTGCACCCCTTCATCTCTCCCATGAAAGCCTCTTCTCCTCATCCCCCCCCCATACACAGCCTCTGCTTCCCCGCCTGCCCCACTCCCCCCACAACCTTTGCTCCATGTAGGCAGGCTCCATCCATACTGCAGCCTGGAGCATGGAGGACATCTCCAGCCTGGCCCTGAAGCAACAGCGTGCAGCTGGCATGGTTGCTATGGAGGCTGGGCTGAAGCTATGCTTTATGCCCCAGGCTAGAATGGGGACAGAGCTGCCAGTACTGAACAAGGGTATGGGAGGAAGTGGGGAGCAGAGGCTGGATGGTGAAAGGGGAAGCAGAAGCTGGGGGAGTAGGAGCAGAGATTGTAGGGAGCAGAGGCTGGGCAGGAGTGGCAGGAGGGGGAGCAGAGTGGGGAAGGGGGGCATGAGGCTGTGGGGAAGCAGGCAGAGGTGGCAAGGGGACAGGCACAAACTGGAGGAAAGTTGCTTGACCTCCTCTCACCACCTGCCCCCCACTGCCTGCACCCCTGAAGCAGTGGGAGAAATGAATTAAAGATGACCCTCCAATAATTAGATTCTGTACTTGAAATTTGTAGCAAATGTATACATTTTTCATGTATAGAATCTAATTTTGGGGGATGTCATCTTAAATTTGAATAAATACAGTACTTCTTCCAACCATTTGCGTTTTGATCCTTTAGGTATGAATAGCCTTTGTCCCTACTGTAGTCTCAATTGCCCTCCTTGACCAGCTATCATACACGGATATTGAATAACACTCATATCAAACATCATAAATTAGGCAAACATAAAAATAATAAAATTAGATTTTGCTTATCTTTATCCAAACATTTTAGATCAGCAAATGTAATTCATGATAACATACATGACATTCAATGAACATCCCAAAAATTAACAGGTTTGTGCCAACAAACTTGAAAAATGGACTAACACTCTTAGTCATATAAACACTTCTGAAAATTCAACTCTTAAAATCAAATGAAGCTAGAAATTTCTAAGGAGCCTAAACCATATCAAATGTCATACTATTGGCCTCTTTGAAGAGCTCCAGCCTAAAATAGCATATACGTGTGTTTGTATACAGACACTCACACATATGCACACACACATGTACACACAACATTGTTAACAGAGAAAAGAAATGTATCAAGGTTGTATATTTGTTTGTTATATAAATTATTCAAGATCTGTGTTTATTTGTTACAGAGAGGATAACTCAGGTGAAAACAGACATCTATGTTACCAGTTTTGGTCCAGTATCAGACACAGAAATGGTAGGTGACAGGATATGGATGCCAAATCCATATTATTTATTTTATTAAAATAACTTTAAAAGTGATCATTTTCCAGATAGATGCAGTATTAACAAGACTGGTCCTTTATGCCAGGAATACACCATTGACGTCTTTTTCCGACAAAGCTGGAAAGATGAAAGACTTCGATTCAAAGGACCAATGCAACGGCTCCCTCTTAACAATCTACTTGCCAGCAAGATTTGGACCCCAGACACTTTCTTTCACAATGGCAAGAAGTCTATTGCTCACAATATGACAACACCAAACAAACTTTTACGCCTTGAAGATGATGGCACCTTACTGTATACCATGAGGTAAAGACCTTGGCTATTTTCTGATTTCTTTTGAATATCACTCCTAGTAGCTTTCCAGCTACTCATGTGTCACATTTTTTCCTCTCAGAATAGAATCAACAAAGTAGTTTTTTGAGCATTTTATAAGAATATCAAGAAAAATGGAAAACATAATCACTGCCTACAACTACCAATTAATTAGCAATTTCTGAGTAATGCTAGGGCTGAAATATTTCCTTTACTTAAATGGAATTCTCAACAAAATGGATGATTCAGTCTTGCTTTTTTATGTAGGTCTGTACTCCCTTATTATTTGTTTTTGCAGCTGCTCTGATGAATTGATGTGAGGGCACTATATAAAAGGCCAGAAAGTTAAATCTCTCTGATGCAGTATGTCTTCAACTCTCAAAGCTTGCAAGTCATGCAATTTAACTAATTTAACGAGAAGACAAGTCATCGCTAGGGTAAAGTCTGTCATGAAGTAGGACAGGGGCACTTCAAAACTATCTTACCAAATGTGTTTTAAAACAGAGCTGGTATATTTTGTAGGCTGAGAATCAGATTGGTGCCTGAACTTCCAGGCCTAGCACCTCATCTGATTTGAGGATATTATGAAACCACATTATTTCCAAATATAAATGTTAAAGCAGTGTTAAAACCATGATGCTAATGCATTACCTGACTTATCTGAAATTCTTACACAAATTCTTCATAGGAGTAGGATAATTTGTTCATTATAAGTAATTCATTTTCAGTAATGAAGACTAACTTTCATTTTTCACAGATTTTTCATTGAAAGTGTAGTCATGTGACAGTACTGACAAAGTGATTAAAAAAACAACTAGAGAAGAGACTGTTTATCCTAAGCTTATCACATAAGAGTATCTGTCAGATCAAAGTAATGCCTAAATCCCTGCTGCATAAGTCTTTGCAAGAATAGAAAGATTTAGAAATCATTAGTTATTTCTTTGCAACTGCAAAAAATTAAATTCTAAAAATCTAAATAACAAGTCCTGCAGTGATTGTGGGTTTTGTTTTCTCATTTTTCCCATTACTTATTACTATTCTTTTCTAATGCCAATTGTCACATTCATGATCTCAGGGATAACTGATAAATCCTGAAACAATGTGGCAAAAAAAGTCAGTGAGCGAAAGGTCAAATAGATGCAAGACAAATCCAAATTCCAAAATTGTAAGCCCTGATTCTAGCCCCATCATCCCTAGCGTTACACTAATGCAAGCGCAGTGCCTACTACAGAATTTCTTGCGGTTTACACCTGTGTAAAATAAATTCAGATCAAAGTTGCAATCTATATGGAGCAGAGCCAGATACTTTCTGTTGCCAGCATACTATATGTGACTGTAGTTTTACGACATGAAGGGTATGTCTGAAGTGACAGTCAAAAAAATTTGAGGTTAAAATAACTTGGGATTGGCACATTGTTTTTTTCTAGGCTAGAAACCCACAACATTCAGGAAGCTTAAAAATATAAAATAGATTCTTTTTCTTTGGGTGACAGGCAGAATAAATACCAATTTACTGTATATATCATATAAGGAAATAGAATGCATCACCTTCTGAGTGGCTTACTACTATCCATTTGTAAACAATTGATAAATTTAAAATAAAAAAGTCAGGTCATTCTATTGTACCTGCTATCCTATCGAAACCTAGGCCAAGGGAGTGTTTATATAATGTATAATCAGATCAAGATATCTGTGAGGTCCTGTGCCACGAGTGTCAGCTCTTTTATGACAGGCATTTCTGAGAGAAATTTCAGTGCTAGAAATAATATATGGCAGCTAATCCCCAGTGGAATGGCTGAGAACTGCAAAATGTTGTGTTTTAAAATGTAACAAGGAGATTGCATAGTGTGTGTCAACAGATACAGGTAAACTCATCTCAGAAGTCTTAACTCTTTGTGTATATTGGGAAAGACATTGGCATCATGGGCAGAAGGAAAACATTTGCCTTAACCCTGGAAGGAGTTAAATCACCTGGATAATTTTCCAGAGTCCTAGAGATGGAACTGTCTCTAATTTCTAATGTTACAGGAAAAGTAGGGTAATATTACATTTCTCTGGCATGCCACTGTCATTACAAGAGGGCTAGATTTGGGCCCTGTGGTTCAGAAGCAAACTGCAAACCAAATACTCGCTTACTTAACCATGTTTGAATGTTTCTTTAAATTGCCTCCAGGCCTAAGGTCCACCTAAACATAAAGGCTGGCATGGTTAGGAGATTCCAATTTCTATAGCCAACAGCACCACAAGGGGGATGGCTACCATGCTATTCAGCCCAACTTTGATTCCCCAGTCCAAAAAACTAGGTGCCTATTGGCAACTAAGCCATCCTGAGTCTGGAGCAAGGCCTGAATTCACGTCCGTGGAGTTGCAGAAAGGTGCCTTAACAATTGCCATCCCATCTCTCAGGGATATTAAGTCAACAAAAACTTAAAGTGATATGCTCCTTCTATTATACAATAGAAAGAGCTTATATCTCTAGATTCAGGCTACACAGGTGGTCAAACAATCTAGTAAACCATGAAGGATTGAGGGCTGGAATGATGGCTACATTCCCTCGAAAGCCTCAGCTGGAGAAAAAAAATCAAAGGGATTGTGGTGCTGGAAGGGAAGGATACAGTTCCCTCCTTTCTTATTTCTCAGAGGAAACCTTCCAGTGCTGTCCCCAGTGTGGCTAAGCAGTGCTTTTCCCTTGGGTCCCCCATCAGGTGGTCTGTTGCAGAAGACTGCATTGCATATCGTACCAAAGGTAGTCTCACTTCAGCAGCATGGAACTTAGTGTGGGAAACTCTGTAAACTAGGTCAAGTAGAGCTTCTTCCTACTGCAACATGCCTACTTCTGGCACCCAGTTTAACTTGCACTCATGCCTCTCTGAACCACTTAATCTTAAATGTGCCATGCTGCTCTACCTTCTGCCTGCCCTGACTTCAGACTAACCCCCTCTCAGTTTAACTTGTGTGAGGCTAGTTTGGGCATTTTCATGCTACGCTGTGCTATGCAGTGCAAACACAGTCAACTTCAGCTACTACTGAATCTTTTGGGAACCTGAGATCAGGACAATAATGATCAAGCCCATACTGACTGAGGTTTCCACTTAAAGAAAGCTTGACTGTAACTGCCTTTCTGCACCTCTCTTGGAGTACATTCCTGAGGATATCATAGTGAATAGTGTAGGCAACAGAGAGGCACAGAACCTTAGTCAGAAGGATGTGCCTTGCTTCCTCTGACTCCCCATCAGATGTGCTTGGTTTTCAGTGGCCTGTGAATTTTGGGGCCAACCCACTGCCACTGGTGTAGCGGTTATTTCCCCACACGCATCTCAGGAACAATTGTGGAGTTTGCCAAACTGTATGCAGAAGTAATTTATTTGTATTAGGGGAGAACTGGGTCCTGACTCAGTACTGGGGATATCTGAACCATTTTAATGACCTTCTGCCTGGGATATCTGAATTAAGAGGAGGTAAAGAGCAAGATGAGGGGTGTCCTACAATATCATATGGATTCTTACTATAAAACATGTTTAGATAAGCAAGTGACTAACCAAGTCTGCTAGAATTCACACAAAAGAGTCATTTAAACCATGAAAAAAGGCCTTCTTGATAAGACCAGGAGAGCTACACACATTGGAAACTGACTTGCAAAAAGCTTGAATCAGAACACAAAAGAAAATACAGCAAATTATAGTGAAATAATTAAAAAAGAAACTACAATGGCAGAACTTTGGAAGGTGAATGAAAATATTGTAAAACATTGTAGAACTATGAAACTATTGATTATCTCAAATAATTTGTGTCACTGTTTTTGGATAATCTTTTTTTCTAGATAATTTTTTTAAGGAATCTTCAGCAGCCCTGAAAAGTATGTTCAGAGCTGTTCCAGTGGCCACGGTAGCAAGTTTCCTGCAGGCGACTCCCTGGCAGTTGATCACCAGGCAGTCTCTCAGGGAGCCAGCCATTGTCTGCATGAGTCAGAGAGTGAGGGTGAAGTTACACATTACACTTAAAACATACTAAGGGCACTTAAAACTTGAGCATCCACACATGGAAGCTAAGTGCCCTCTGGGCATCTCAAAGTTATGCCACCTCAGGTGAGAGTTAACTCTGAGCTGTGCTACCTAACTCATGTTAGGGTAGCTTCAGTCTGCTCCATGGAGATAAAATGAGCAATTTTCAGTGCTCTGGCTTCTCAGAATGCACTGCTCCCAGCTCCTCTTCCCTCAAGGATAGAGCCCAAGTGTCCTGGCTCCTTGCCACACTCCTGCTCACCAACCCCCTAGTTCCAAATCAGAGCTATGCAGGCAAGAAATAGTATGTAATAGTTATGTGTGACTGCCCATAGCTTGCTCCAACTTTAACACTGATTAACATTCCACAGATTTAGTATGGTCTAACTATAACATACAACTTCACCCTGAGGGGGAAGGTCAGGAGACCTCCCACTTACTTGATTTTCCAGATACTCAACTTCTGGATAATACGCGTTCCATACTATGAAAGAGAAAGTATCCTGCAAAATTATCACCTTAAGTATAATAATCAGCGGACACATCTACACGGTCATTAATACGCTTTTGCTACTGCGCATTAAGTTTAGTACCTCTGGGCACTTTTACATGTGCTCTAGGCATTAAAGTACATGTGTAGACACACATGTGTAAACAACTATGTTGGTTATAAACAGCAAAAGGATCACATGCAAAAGAGCAACTCCCCCAGCACTTACATTGTTTTCAATATAAAGCAATTTGATACATTTATTTTCTAACTTTCTTCATATTTGATCAAATATGTCTTTTCATTGTAATGAAAATGCATTGTTTGGATTTGCATCTTCAATTGATACTGACCATGTCAGAAATGAAGGAAGTATTTTGCCAGTTAAAGTGTTAATGTGCTTCTGTGCATGCACATTGTCAAAGTCTCCCTGCATCAAAATAGGACCACAATATACCATCTAGACTGATGTTAACAATAGTGTTCTCTGCTGTGAAAAAACT